GCAGAATAATCCCACTTGGAGGTGAATCCCATCCTTTATCCTTTGTAGGCCTTTCTTTTTAGCCTCAGGTCTGCTAGGTCCCTGGAGAGCCAGGGGGGCTGCTGAGACCTCTTGCTGCCTTTCCTCCAAGATGGAATAGACTTAGCTTGTGCATTGAGGCTCTCTCCCTTGAGGAGCAACCACTCTTCTTGAACTCCCCTCTCCCTAGGGTCGTGGTCCCTTAGGGCCTGACTGACAAGCTTCCTGAGCTTGTCAGGGTTGGCTTTCCTGAAGTCAAGGACTTCCATGTTGCTCACAGACTTGCCAGCTTTACAGTGGATGGTGAAGGTGATCAGGTGTGTTCTGCCCACCCCTCTCATCCCCCATCTAGCCTGCAGCTCCCTTCACAGTGCTCCCATCCCAAGCAACCAGCACTGTTTTCCTGCCCCCACATGCCCCATGCCTGCCAACAGCCCTTCCCCAGCCTCAGTGCACACAGCTTCCCAGCGGGGCTACTTCTGTTGCTGCAGCTGCCTAGATGCTACTTGGCTACCCCCACCTCCAGTGTCTTCTCCCCCTCCTCCTCCTGCCCCTGTTGCATCATTCCAGGCAGGGAGAAGCTGCAACTGGGTGGCTTCTTCCCCAGCACACAGAGCTCCAGCTTCAGCTTCCACCCACTCGGCCACCTCATTGAGCTGGGTGGGTGGAGTGAGTGGAAGGCAGTTGGCAGCTGAAGCTAGAACCCCGCATGCTGGAGCAGGAACTGCCCAGCTGCAGCCTCCCCCCTGCCATGCAGCACAGCAGGGGCAGGAGGAAGAGTAGCTGCTGGAAGCAGGGGGAGCTAAGCAGTACCTGGGCAGCTGCAGCAGGAGCAGCTCCACTGGGAAGTTGTGCATGCTGGCTGGGGTCAGAGCCAGGGCAGTGCAGTCAGCAGGCACAGGGCAGGTGTGGGCAGGGGGGAGCAAGGACTGCCCAGGGCAGGAGCAGGCAGGGCTCGGCCTCATGCCGAGTGTCTCTGGAGGCAGCCATTGGGCTGGATCAGTTGGCAGGCCTTATCCAGCCCATTGCTATTCTAAAACAATTTTAAAAGATCATTTTTAAACTGTTATTATAGTTCTGCTCCTAGATTCTAACCTTACAAAGAACTGTATGTGTGCCTACCTTTGTGTACAAGTACATGCATTTGTCAGATCGGCATTTTATTGAATATCAATAAAATCCTTATTTTGAGGATACATGTTTTTGTATTTAATGAGATATTGCTTAATTTTTTCATATATGGAAAATCTCTTTAGAATTATGTAATGCCCCTTATTTGCCTATACCCTGAGTCAGTTTACTTGGCAAAATATATGTAGAGGTTAATTGATTTTTGTTTATCTTTTTAATTTTTTTAAATTTACTATATTGCACTGCTTTTTCTCATTTAGTTGTGTGTAGTTCTTATTGCAGTCTTGGAAAAATATCATAAAGTAGATTAGTTTTAATATATAGAACACAGTTTTGACCTGAAAGATCCAAATGAATATTTTCTCATCACTTCTGAGTACGTTTTTTATGATTTACTTGGTAAATATTTCACAGCTGTTAGAAAGAACTAAGCTGGGATGACTTGAATATGCATTAGTCCCATGCTTACATCAGCACTAACTTCACAGTTTTTTAAATAAATGCATTTTAAGTGTTTGAATGTGACATCTTGTGTAATACATTTGTTATATCAGTATGTTTAAAAACAATATTAGTTGCATATTTTCAGGTACTTGGGCTCTGCTTCATTTAAGTCTGAATATTAGGTTTCTCAAAGGTGTAAGAATGACTTTCTTCCAAGTCACAGACAGAAAATGCCTCAGGGCACTGTTCTTTCCTTTTTTCCAAATCAAAATTCATAAAAAGGTACACAACTTTCCTATGTTATTTCTTACACCAAAAAACTAAAAAGAGGTTTCAAAGTATCACTATAAAGCATTTCTTATAGTGGGAATAGGAAACACTTCAATATTTAAAGATGCATAAAAGTTTCCATCTGAGCTCTCAGTTGCTTGTAATTGAAATTTTCCAGGCTTGGTTTGTTTCTTGAAAATGATAATTTTTTTTAAGATGACGTAGGTATGTATGTGGCAGGGGTGGGGGGAGCGTGGTTTCTATACAGTGTCAGGGGGAGGAAGCAATAGTTTGCCATTGTATGTGTAATGTAAATATAATCATATATGTGTGTGCACACAAACGCAGGCACACAAGTTGAGTGCCATTATGATGCTCACTTTAAAAACACAGGAGTGTCTCGATCTAAATAGCTGTCTCCTAAACTAAACTGTCCACAATGGCAATTTTTTTTTGTTAAAACAGTACCGTTCACTTAAAGTCTTTCGTTTCAGTAACTTAACAGTAATTTAGGTACCATGTTTGCATTGATGCTTTTTGCTGTTCTGTCATTTTTTTCACTTTTTCCTATTTTTAAAAGTGGTTTTTCTCCCTTCTTACTATGTAAAAGTCCTGAATGGAAATGTATGTGATGAATGGCAAAGCTAATATAAAATAGTACAATTGGGTAGTGCCGTAGCAGTGTATGCATTTTCCCTTTGCATCTCTCTTGTTAAAAAATAATTGGTATAAATTTGAATGTACAGTCAATAGAATGCAAGTTGCCTAGAATCATGTTAACGTAGCAACTGTGACTAGAATATATGTTAAATTATATTGACAGTGGTATTCTCAGTAGTCAGATGTAACTGTGTGCAACCTGATCGAGTTCATATTGATCTCCTTGACATTTTTAATATTTACTTGTGAGATCATAAAGTCTTTCAGTAGTCAATTATATAGTCGTCATCATATTTGCATGAATTTTCAGGTTGACTGTTTTAGGGCTGAGTACTCTCAGAACATGAGTTCGTAGTGACATTTTTGTATTAAGGAGAAAAAGATGTTATTTTTTAAAAATATCTCAGAAAATGTCTCTTAAGATTAAAGCTAATAACTAATACTCATGTTCAATTTTCTTTAAGGCCTTATTGACTTTGAAGAATGCAATACGTCTACTGCAACTGAAGGTGAGTTGTTAATTTCTTAAGCTGCTACTAGATTTAAAAAAAAAAGTTGGAAAGTTATTAAGTAGTAGTACTCTTGAAACATTTTTTATTAAAAATTGGCATTCAAGAAAATGTCCAGGACCACTTCTTGACAGAATGTATATAAAATTGTTAAAAGATCAAAATGTTTTTCATAAACAGCTGTACTTCCATTTACAACCATTTGGTTTGTCATTTCCAGTCTGGTGCTCTATTTCTAGAAGACCAGACATTAACAATTGACTGGATAATTTACAAGTGGCAAGCTAAACCCTGGTTTGCACTTAAAGTTTTGGAATATACATCTATATTGATTATGCCAACACACATTCTAGTGTAGACAAATTTGTAGGCAAAGTACTTTGTCAGTATATAGTTAATTTTCTTCAGGCTATAAACTACAACTGCATATGTGTGTCTTTACTCCTTTTGGGAGCATGGGTTGCCAGTATAATAGCTATTGTGGGAATAGATTTTTAAGTGTAGGCAACTCTGAGTTGCCCAAATTACAGTTGAGGGACCTTCAAATATTTAGACAGTGGAGTAAATGCATGCTTTTGAGAACTAGCATCATACCCCAATAATAATTCCTTGTGGACTTGAGTGTTTTCTGAAATGAAAAATATATAAATACAAATTTACACATTCATGAATTATTATTGTATCAAGGAAAAAAGAATCCATCAATCTGCCTGCTGTGATATAAATTTGTCCTGGCTTCCTGGATTCCAGTTATCTAAGCAAACATTTTCCCAGACTGCAGAAATTTCTCAGCTGCATCAATACCACCTAGTGTACTCCAAGCAAAAGGATCATATCAGTGAGCAAAACTGCTAGAAGAAATGTTGAATTACTATTCCAGATGCTCAGATTTTATATCAGGGGTGGGTAAAATATGGCTCACAGGATGGATCTGGCCCATGCACAGTTTTTGTTCAGCCCATGGCAGGTCCTTTGGTCCCGCCCAGACCAGGCACAGAGGGCAGCCTGGGCTGGGATGCTTGATGGCGCTAGACATGCCAACCAAGAGAGCGGAGGCAGCTGCTGGCTTCTGAGCCATAGCTCCAGCACCAAGGTAGCCACTTCTGCTCGCCTGCCCCAGCAATTGGAGGAAGCATTAGTGCCAGATGCAGGCTGGAAGGCGGGACCCCATGCACAGTGCCTTGGGATAGGAGCCTGGCTGTATTTGCAGAGTTCCTGCTCCTGATTGCCCCTGTGGCACAGCATCTCCACCATGGCCCCCAGTGTGTGGCTCTTACCTGGCACTTGCTACCCGTGTGCCTAGAACAGCCCTGCCTGACTCGTGCTCTTCCTCCCCGTAGCCCAGGCCCTCTGCTGCTCCCCACTTTGGCAGTGGTTCTGCTGCCTCCCGAGCCCCAACCCACTGCCAGGCTTCTGTTTCCACTGCTTTTGTTGCCATCCTGGCTCTTTCCATCCATGCATGGGGGCTGCAAATGGTGCCTGCTTAGGTCTCTCTCCTGGCACTGTTCAGACTAATATTCAGTTCCACACAGTGCTGCGAGTCAGGGCATCCACAGAAAGAGCTGAGCCCCTGCTGGGTCTGCAGAGTTTCTGGGAACCACATGTGTTCTGCTGGCTCTGGGGCCCTTCAGCTTCTGACGCTCTGTCCTATCAGCCATAAAGCTGCTGCTTACTGTTTGGGCCCCATGGGCTGCCTCTCCTTAGCCAGGAAGCCCAGCCAGTTGCTCCCCACCTGTCCGCAGCCCCACCTGGGCTGAGCTCAGAACAGAACCATGGCTGACTGCCCACACACCTCTGTGATGCGTACCAGTTCCGCGGCCAGGGACATGTAGGGAGTGGCACCTGTCGCAGGGGCATGTGGGCAGCGGACTGTGGCTCTGTTCTGCACTCAGCCAGGATGGGGTTGGGCTCCCCAGCTAAGCAGTGGCAGCCCACAGAACCCAAACAGTAAGCAGCAGCTTGGACCCACGTGGCCAGGCCAACAGGATCTGTCCCTTAAGGAGTTTTGCTGAGTTATTGCGAAGGGTGTCGAGGGTACTGACCCAGCCCACAACAGCTCACCAAAACTCCCTGTTGCCCACCCCTGTAATATATAACTGTTTTACTGAAAGCACACTTTACTTCATCTAAGAGGTTATTTGGGAAAAAAGGAGTCAGAGCCATAGTGTTGAAGCTGTCTGTGAAGTTAGGCCTCAGATTTTTAAAAGATAATAGGGAAACTGGAGAGGATACAGAGGCAAGCAGTGAAGATGCCATAGAAGTTGGAATGCAAGGCATATGAGAAACTGAGAGAGCTAGGTCTGTTTAGTTTGAAGACAAGGAGATACAAGAATGAGGAGCATGTGATAGTAGTTGTCATATATTTGAAAGGCTGCCATAAAGAGAACAGCTGTTCTTGCTTGCTGTAGAGGGCAGGACATGAAGCAATGAGGCTGGAGAAACACTATTCCTGTATCACGCCAAACAAATGCATCTTCCATTCATGTAGGGGTTTAAACTAATTGAGCCTTGAGTCCTTTCAATCCTGTGATTCTAAATGATCACTCCCATATTTTCTGTTTTCTGAAAAAATTAGTCAACTTCAGCAAAAATCTAGGAGAAGAGTAGACATGACATTAGTCTGAGAGGATCTGGGTTTGGCATTCACTTCCTAATGGCGTTATGTAACTTATAACTTATGATGTAAGATACAAAGCCAGTTTTACCATGCTAAATGTTATAATGAACAGACTTTAACTTTGAAATCATTTTCATTTTATTACCTCCTTGTAAGCAGGTGTACTGGGCTTCAGATTTACTTTGAAAACTAAATTTTTGCTTCATTCACGAGCTATAGCCACATATTTAATATCTGCAAGGACTAGAGGGTCTGTGGCATTGTTAAACATGAATTCATTCATTTCTGTGATCTAAGGATAAACATTTCTTTCTGTAGGGGTAAAACCAAGGAAAAGAAAGCCTTTTGGTTTGTCTGGAATAATTAAGAAAGAAAAAGATGCAGAATCTGTGTAAGTATTTCAAACTTGGTGCATGCAGTTCCAGATGGAAATATATAGCATAATTACCAAGAAAAATATTAGTGTTGTGAATGAATATAAATTCTGTTAAAGGGACACTATTAACTTTACAGTTATTTTTTCTGAGAGACATTTTCCTTCTCCTAGATGCACATAAGAGTGTTATAACTAAAAGACATTAGTGGTGGGAGAGACCATTAAATTGGCTTGGTTTGGTGTTTGTTTGTTTTTTAATGCATTTGACAGTACTTCATCTGTTTAATTCTCTTCTCTGTTTAGGAAGCTAGGCCTTAGTTCCATAAACACTTCAGTTCATAGCTGACTTGGTTCATGTGGGTAATTTCACTTGGGTAGCAGGCATGCACAAAAAAATGCTTTGTGCCCAAGGATTTAGAGGATCAGGGCTTTAGTTCTCCTCTTCCTGAAAATGAAGTTACTCTTCTTATCATTTGTATAGGATAACTCTTAAGTATATTTTTCAGATTTTTTTTTTTAATAAAAAACAGGTATTAAATTGGATCAGAAATTAATTATGCTCTAAAATGAGTTTTCAAAACATCTTCTTTAAAAAAGATCAGACTGGTGGTATTTTGGGGGGTTTAAGTATTAAGTAATTTTGACTTGTCTTCTTTACAGCTTCTAGAAGTTCCCTCCCCCCCTCAAAGAACTTATAATGTAATAGAGATACAACAATTTAAATATGTTTTCAAATAAGAGGGTCAGCAAGTCTTTTTAATCTTAGAATATTTGGTTACTTTATTTTTCAATAACAGTCTGCCAATAATTAATGATTTAAGCATGATGCTCATTATTTACTTATACCAAACAAAGATGCTTTTATGATTTTTCTTTCGTCCTTTTGATTTTAGCAGTGTTAAGTCTCTGGACCACACTTGCTTCTCTCTTTATACTGTTACCTTGGGACTCTTTGATAGATTTTACTAAATAATTTTCCCTAAAGGTGTTTTGTTTTCCAAGAATTAATCCTTCTCTCTAAGGAACATTACCCAAGTTCATTACATCAGTCTAACCTGAAATTGATCTCAATTGAGCCATACCTCCAACGTCTATCTTAAGTTGCTTGCGCCATTTTAGACCGGTCTATTTGTGCTGGACTTCTGTTTAGTTACAGGCTTAGATCGATCTACATTCACTTAGATGGGTTTAAGTGTTCCCTAAACGTTCGACTCTTCTTCCCCACAAAGTATGCTGAGGGAGAAGAGATGAAAATGTATGTACTGAGATTCTTGTCAGCAAGATTCTACTTTATTGTAAATAATAAGTTTTTCCAGATCTGTATAACTAAAAATAATAATTGTAGAAGTATTTTAAATTGATACTTGAGGAATATTTAGAAGACATTGGAATAGTAAAATATTTGCTCTGAACTTATGAGCAAAAACAAAACAACCCTTAAAACAGAAATTAATCAAATCCTAAAAACTAACATCTTTTGAGAGGTCAAATAAATTAAAAGCTATGTTAGGAGGTTTATCTTTTGTTTTTTATCATATACTTTTATAGAAAGTAGAACTTCATATTTCATGTAGGTCTGCTGGAGGATACCTACGGTCCACTGTCCCTGAATTTGTCAACAAAATTATTTTGCTCTCCATTCTTTTTATCACTCAAGGTAACCCCTTGTTTTGTGTTGTTCCACTGTTCCCTTATTTGCAAGCTATGAACCTTCTTCCTATCAAAAACTTAATTCCTTATAGAGCAGTAAACTTTTATCTGGTGAGTGGGAAGCTCTCAAGGAAAATGAAAAACTCTTGGTGTTGTATTCAGGGACTAGAAAGCCTCCAAGTCAACTGTGACAAATTGGATCTCTGATAAAATCATGTTTTTGCTGAATTTTAAAGAAAATTTTGCTGAAAGAAAGAAAGTCCTTTTGGCAGTGACAGGTGAAACATGGGCTTCTATGAACCCACTCCTTGCAAGTCTACGTGCTTATCCTTGTTAATTTAGTACACTAGCATACGCTTTCTTTGAGCAAAAGTTTTTATTCAACGTATAAGTTGTTATATCTTTGTTTTGTTAGGATTAATTGTATACTACATAACAGTGAAGCGATAACATCTGAAAATATAAATTGCTCTACTACAACTGCTCTAAAATCAGGATTTTTTGTGCAGTTGTCATTTGTTTCATCCTACTCTGTAGGTAGTCAAAGTAGGATGATGATTTTTTTGTGAAAAATGTTCAGAAAAATATTAGTCCTTAGAAACTTAAGTTAGAAACTCCTTTGGCCACTTACTTAGCCATAGTTGTTTTAATCACCCCATGTCTGTTTCCTTCCTGTCAGGCTCTTGCTTATTGATGGATATGGGAGTTGGTTTGCCAGGGAAAACTTGAATCAGGAATTTCTGACTTTAGGACTTGTTTGTAGTCTTCAATTTTGAGTACTTTTTCAAAATTCTTTACTGTCTTGCTTTCTACAGTTTGAAATAAAGCTTTTGCAAGGAAGGGGGAAGTAGTTAACAAATAGGTTCACATTACAGCAGTAAGCCCACTGCCTGCTAATTTATTTTGTTGATAAGGGTATGAAGTATGAATAAGCAATCCCAGGGATCTGACATCTCTTTGGCCTCATCAGAATTAACTGCTGAAGACTTCACAATTCCTCCCAATTTAAGGAGCCTGTAGAGAAAACTGAGAAGACTTCAGAGCATTCAGTCCTTTTAAACCCTGTTTTTCCCTCTATCCTGTTGGCATCTGTGGTTTCTATGAAGACTGGAATGCTATAATTTTTAACATTTGAATATGCCTGAAAAGTAGAAGATTTTAAGGTTAAAGGAGTTGTTGTGGTCATCTAGTCTGCCCTTTTACATAATATAGGGGGTAGATTTTTTTTACAAGTTGTTCCTGCATCAACAATAACTTTAAGGTTAAAGGTAAAATTCATCTTTTAGAAAGGAATGAATTCTTGAGGTCTTTCTGTTTTATGATGGAGAAGCCATAACCTTTCTAGATAAGTTGTTCCAACAGTGCCATCATTCTTCTGGTTAGGGGTGGGAAAAGCTTTAATTATAATTTGAATTTATTTGGTTCAAATTTTCTGGGTCTTGTAGGACCTCTCTGACTTTTCTTGCTAGTTGAAGTAGTTCTGTAATACTAGGAATTCAGAAGTCTTCTGCCCGCATAGGAACTTATTAATAACAATTTAGTAACCTCTCAACTTCTTTTGTTAACTTTATGAGAGAGAGCTTCTTTGTTCTTTTAACATAAAACAGGCAATCCAGACCTTAGGTAATTCCTTTAGCTCTTTTCTTGAGCCCTCTTCTTTATTTCAGTGTTTTGTTTTTTAAGTGTGCGCACAACAACTTGGATAACTTCAAATTTTCATCTGTGTACTATATACAACATTGATTTTCAGCATACTATGAAATTATTTTTTTTCTAGTATGCTTCTGGTACTTTCCTTAAGATCTTTCGTTTTTCATGGA